CAGAAGAGGCTGCCTTGCCAGAAGAGAAGGATCAAGTTGAGTCTTCACCTGTTACCTCTTCAGTCCCAGAGAAGCCAGCCTGCTTGGGCAAGCCAAGCGTGAAAGGGTCGCGAAAATCGCAACCGCTGCCGACTGGAGGCTCTCCTGCCCCCGCGGAGGAAAAGCGGTCAAAAGCCAGCAAAATGAAGATCTCCACTAAGCTGCATAGCCCCCCGCAACCCACTTACCAGCCTGCTGTGTTTGGAAGCATCCTTAGCACGGAACCCTACAGCGACCTCCCGGGAACGCTGGCAGCCTTTGGCTCCGGGGATGCTTCAGCATCAAAAGCCAAGGCCAAGAAAGGGCGGCCCACGGAAGAAACACAGGAGTTTGGCACCATGGTCAAAGCTCAGAGGAAGCATGACAACGAAATCCTGATCAAGCTGGACCACGAGGGCGTGATGTCTCCAAAGACAAAGAAGATGAAGGAGGCGATGAGGATGCTGGAGGACTCGAACTTGGCCAGTCGCAGAGACAGCAAGAGTCTCTTGGGGCTGGGCTATTCCCCTGCAGTGGGTGCGGAGGGCAAGCAGAAATCTTCCCGAGCCAAAGCAGCTGATGGAGACCCTTCTTCTGCTAGCTTTGGAGGAAAGTTTGATGGCTCAGCAGAAACCCTCACTGCTTCGAAGGACCAGGAAGAAAAGGCAGCAGCTCCAGCAGCCGTGGAGGAGTCTGAGAGCAACAGCAGCGACAGCAGCTCGGAGTCAGAGGGAGAAGAGGAGGCTGAGAAGAACCGAGGGGAAGCCCAGGACAGCAGCTCAGCCAGCTCGAGAGCATCTACTCCTCTCTCTTCCTCCAACTCCTCCTCCTCTTCCTCTTCTAGCAGCAGCTCTTCTTCATCTTCTTCTTCCTCCTCTTCCTCAGCTTCATCGACCTCTTCTTCATCGAGCTCCAGCTCTTCTTCCTCCTCCACTACAGATGAAGACTCGTCCTGTAGCTCTGATGACGAAGTAGCTGAGGCCCAGCCAAGTTCCTCGGTGCAGCAATCCCTCCCACCCAAGCAAACCAAGCAGGCAGGGAAATCCCGGGCGTCCTCCCACCCCCAGAGCCAGAAACAGCCGGCGCAGCAGCCGGTGCAGCAGCCGGCACCGCAGCAGAGCGGCAACAAGAGCAGGCCCAAAAAGCGCGAGGGCATCCACCTGCCCACCACCAAGGAGCTGGCCAAGCGCCAGCGGCTGCCATCGGTGGAGAACAGGCCCAAGATCGCTGCTTTCCTCCCCGCACGGCAGCTGTGGAAGTGGTTTGGGAAACCCACACAGGTAAGCAGAGCCTTTCCCACTGCTCCGTGTTGCTGGGCGCTGCCGTTTGCCTTGTGGTGCCTCTTACCCGCTTCTGAGCCGTGCCCTTTCCCTTCTCCTGGGGTGGTGAAACTCTGCTGGCGTGGTGCGTCTCCAGTTTGCAAGGAGATTGGGGTTGGCCTTTGCTGTGTCTGGGGGAGCCGTCCTGCGCAGCGTGTCCTGTTTCCTGTGGGAATGCCTGTGGATGCTGTGGCTTTGCTGACAGCGAAGGGTGGGATGCGGGACAGGGCAAGCAGCGGTGGATGGCGAAATCCGGGGTGATCCCTGGCTGCTCACCTGCACGATCTTCTCTTGGCAGAGACGAGGAATGAAAGGCAAGGCCAGGAAGCTCTTCTACAAGGCCATCGTCCGGGGCAAGGAGATAATCCGCATCGGAGACTGTGCGGTTTTCCTCTCAGCTGGCCGCCCCAACCTGCCCTACATTGGCCGGATCCAGAGCATGTGGGAGTCATGGGGGAACAACATGGTGGTCCGAGTCAAATGGTTTTATCACCCAGAAGAAACCAACCCTGGGAAGAAACTCAATGAAGGCAAGGTAGGCTGGTCTGCTTTGCCAAGAGGGCTGCAAAGCTGCTTGTTCCCTTTTGTTTCCAAGGATGAGGAAAAAAAAACATGGCCCAGTTTGTTACTGGTGCTGTAATGGGGGGTGGTCCCATCGTTTTGTGTTGTGGCGGCTGCCTGTGGTGTGGACAAGCGTGGTGTTTACCCCTTGAGTAGAGGAAGGGTGGGTTTTACTGTGTTGGGAAGTAAAGACTTTTGTGTCAATCCAAAAAAGTGTCAACTGAGTATTTTTACAGTGTAAGAGCGACTGGCTTCGTGCTCAGAAACACTGAATTTTGCACACGTGTGCAGTGGGGTTTACAGTAGGCTCTCAGTATTTATTACCAGTAGCTGTGGACGGCGCTTGAGGTTGTAAAGGGCACGTGTGGTGGGCAGGAGGTGCTAGCATGGTAAAATAACTAATTTCACCTTCATTTCTGTTTTCTCTTTTCTCTTCCTCTTGGGCGCAGCGCTGGGATCAGAAATCGGGCAGGAGTCTGTCCACAGCTTTGCAAGCATCCAACCAGAGGAAGGACTTTATGGAGGTTGGTGAGGTTGGGGGAGGCCTGAGCGGGGATGCCAGGGACTCTGTATGAAATGCAGCTGGGAAAGTGCCCCCCAAGCTCCTCTGGCCCTTGCTTTTTGCCTCGGCTGCTGGGTCCGCAGTGCGCAGGACTTTGGGTGGGTGTTTCTGGGTGGTTGGGAGCAGCTGCAGGTGCTGGGTGTTGGGAGGAGCAGAAGGCTGGTACCCAGCACCCATCTTTGCATTTCCATCCTTGAAGTGAGGACGTCAAACTCCTGGCCTCCGTGTTCCCCTGTCCGTGCGCTCGGCAGCCGCGGCATTCCCATTAATTGGAGCTGAGTGAAAGTGGAGACTCAGCTTTAGTGTGCTGGATGGATTGTGTCCACGCTGCCCGTGGGCCCGTGCAGATTCCCAGGGTCCCTCCCCTCAGCGGGGATGTGGGGGCAGCTCTGCTTGAGTGTGAGCACAAGCCCTGACCAGTTGTGATGGACGTTTTCCCTGCATATTGAAGATGATGCTGTAAATGCTGTGAGATCTAATTGCTCCTTTTCTTTCCATCTCCCTCCTGTTCCTGTCATGCAGCGAGCCCTCTACCAGTCCTCTCACGTGGATGAAAACGACGTCCAGACCATCTCACACAAGTGTCTTGTTGTTGGTCTGGATCAGTATGAGCAGATGCTAAAGACGAAGAAATACCAAGACAGTGAGGACCTCTACTACCTTGCAGGGACCTACGAGCCCACTACGGGCATGATCTTCAACACTGACGGGGTCCCTGTCATCTGCTGACCGCCCAGGGGACACGTGCCACCCCCTGGGAAAGGGACGGGACAAACCTGAGGACGTGCCTCTTCAGACGACATGATTGTTTCTTTCAATGCTCATGACTTCTGTGTCACACTACAGACAGGAGAGCGCGAGAGACACGAGGAGGAAGGAGAGGGCTGAAGAAAGGGGTTGGGGAAGCAGTTACAGGACTTGAGGAAGATGCCACTGGGGGGGGTCGTGGTGGTGGTGCTTGAACCCCAAGGCTCTTCTAGAAGTGGCTTTAAGTAAGGTGGCACTTGACCAACTTCTCCCTTCCTCCTTTTGGTCCAGGAAAGCACATGGGTCTCGTGATCATTTCACCAGCGGGACCCCCCGGCAGGAGGGATCCCTTTTGTGTCATTTGCCCCCATCAGTAACTGGGGAGCCGCCTGTACGTGGAGGGACACCCGCTACCCTTCTGCGTGCGCTCCTCTCCGTCCTTATATTCCCTTTCCTGCTTAGTTTCGCATGACGCTTTAGGAAGGACAGGGTGAAAGAGAAAGGAGATGGGTCTCTCTCAGCGCCTCGTCTCGATCTTCTCGGCGCCTTTTTGCGGTTCCCTTTCCCTGGAGGCTCCCGGCCGGCAGCGTGGAGCACGACGGGGCAGAGCTGGCCCCAGCACGGGATGGCAGAAGAGGTCCAACAGGCTGGGAGGAGGCGGGTGGAAGACGAGCCAACACCCAGTCTGGGATGCTGCCTCCCCACTGCCTCCAGCAAACGGCCTGAACCCACTTTCCATGTCACTCCGTGTCCCTCCTGCCCTGGAAAGGTGCTGGAGGCAGGGGGCAGGCGCATGGCGAGGGGGGTGATGCTTGGCGAACAAAGAACTCGTCTTGGAGCGTGCAGTGAAGGGGGGGGGTGTGTGGGAAATGGCTGGGAAAAGCTGCTGCTTGGAGCAGAGGAGAACGCAGGGCCTTGGATTTCAGCATCCTTCGCCCCCTCCGCGCCCTGCCTGCACGGAGCCGTGGAGCTGCTGGGAAGCCCTCGCCCATCGTTTGAAGGGAGTGGGGACAGAGGGTGAAGCCCGGCGGCGTTTCCACAGCCGGAGTCCCGCTGCCACCTTGGGTTTGGGGAGGGGACTGTTTCCAGCCAGCCGACCTCCCCAGCTCCCGGAGTCGCCGCCGCCGTCGCCTCCTCTGCGGAGCTGAGCCTCTGTCTCCCTCCCGCCAGGCGCACGCCGCACCCGCGGCATCATCACGCCGGAGGAGAACCACGCAATGATGCAACATCCTTGCACTTAAAAAAAAAAACAAAAAAAAAAAAAAACAAAAAAAAAAATCCCAAACAAAACGCCCAAGAGACGCACTGATCTTCGCAACTACCGACTCGCACTACAGATTGCTAGGACGCGGAGCGGGACCCGGCTCGGCCGGGAGTGACGGCCCAGGCTCCGGTGGGGAGACGCTTCAGACAAGGACAGATTGGAAACTCTCCGGCCTGGTACCGCCTGCGGACCGGAGACAGGAGGCCGGGGCTCAGGGGAGAGGGACGCCCCTGCAACGTTACCCCTCGTCCTTTAAAACGAACCACATGGTGCTGAGCTTGTACCATCTCCACCCTGGGCCACCGGCGCCTCGGCGCGGCGGATAGTGGCGGTTCTAGCCTGTACAGTTTTAATGTACCAAAAGACTCTTTAGCCCTCCTGTATTATAAGTCTTTAAATGGATTCAACTTTTTAATTATAAATATAAATATAAATATATATATATAAATATAAACTTTTTAAAACTGTGAAAAAAATTATGAAATTATAAAAAAAAAAAAGAAAAAAAACGACAGAAATGAACACAGTCTGACGTTTAGAATATTATTTTTTATTTCCTGTTGGATTGTGATTGTAAATGATCTGGGAACAGGCACACCCCCCCCACGCTCAAAGTGTACTGTACTTCTAGAAGCAAATTGTGTGAGCATATTTTAAAGAGCGAGAGAGCGCGCGAGAGAGATTTTATGCTAATGTTAAATAGAAAGCACTTAAAACCCACTGCCTTCTATGGAACACAAGGATATTTCAGACAATCGAGAGGAAAGGAGAGCCAGGTTTTTGTCTTTTTTTTTTGTTTTGTTTTGTTTATGTTTTGTTTAAAACAATTTTTTTGGCATTCTGTTTGTTGGAGAACTCCGTGTGATCTTTTTTCATAAAAAAAAAAAAAAAAAAAAATTAATTGAAAAAAAAGCAACCCAAGAAAGCATCTTTCTTTGTCTCGCTTGTCCTGACTGTGGGGTTTTTCTCCCTTTGGTGACAATGATCGCTTTTTGGCTCAGCCCCTGCCTTGGGTCTGGGGCTCTGTGGGGACACCCTGTCCCTCTGGCAGTGCCCCCGCAGGGTGGCACTGAGGGACACGATGGGACCCCGGGCTGGAAGGTCCCTGTGGGGCAGGAGGTGCGAATCCTTCCCCTGCGACCACCCTCGGGCCGACTCCCTTACCCCGAGCCCTGCAGGGACAACGCGTTGAGGAGGAAACGCTGGATTTGCTCTTTTTGGTGTGAGCTGCGCTTCAGCCAGCCAGGGGCTTGGCATGGTGAGATCCTCCAGTGATTGGGGGGGGGGGGGTGGGCATGGTGAGATCCTCCAGCCCTTGGGCTTTGCTTCCTTGGGAGGCAGCACCCTCCCAAAAAGGAGCAGCCTCGGGTGTTGGCACCTTCTCCAGCTGGTTTCTGCTCCCCGCAGCCCGTTCCCTCTCCCGCTTGCCGCCCGTAAAGGCGGTGCGCTCCAGCAGCGGTTTGCAGGCTGGCGGGGGTGTGATGGCACCTGGTGACACGTCCGGGTGGCAGAGGGGACCCTGGAGATGGGGAGCAGCACAAGGGACACCCCAAGACCCCCCCAGGACAGGCCGCAGGCATCCCCCTGGCTGTAAATCAGCCCAGGCCATCGCCAGCAGCTGAGTGCTGGGGCCGTGCCGCTGGCACTGCTAATGACCAGGCATCGTTGTAAAGACATTTAATCTGGTGTCAGCTTCATTTATGTCCCTTGAGATAAGTCCTGAAGCTCAGCACTGGCCCTGGGTGGCATCTGCAGTGCTGTGTCCTTTGAGACACCCCCCGCCCAGAGCACACCAGCAGCGTGGGGTGGAAGGGAGGCAGGAGCCTGCCTCGCTCACAGTTAGCGAGGTGGGGGAAACAAGACACAAGGAAAATAAAAAAGGTATTTTCTTTCCAACCAGCAGAAGTGAATTGGGTCTTTTACACAACGATTGGCATATTTGGGGAGGGAGCGTGATTTCAAGCCACTCTTAGTGAAAACCTGCAGCACCATCAATGAAAGTGAGACCCACCTTCCCAGAGCCACTGGGGACTGAAGGAGTGTTTCTTTCCTTTTTTGCTCTTCCTCCGCCTCACCAGCCTTCCATCACCCTTCTCCCCAGTGCTGGTCCTATTCTCTTTGGGATTTGGCAGTATTTTCTTCCTCCTGGGAATGGCTTGGCTCAAACAGGAGAAGACCCTCCCCCTGCCTCCACCGGAGAGCTACACATTGCTGAGGTGGAGCTCACCCCCCCCCCCCCCCAAAAAAAGAGCAATGGGACTGCACCCCGGGGTGAGGAGAATATCACCCCAAGAAGTGGCCCTGGACAGCACCTGGCTGGGCAGCACCGTGCCAGCGGGAGCCCGGTCCCTGTCCGCCCTGGGGCAGCTTTCTGGCTTTGGGCATCGTCCCCGAGGAGGGACGTGAGCCAAGCGGGGCGTTGGGGACCACGGTGGGAAGCAGGACCCACCTTGTCCCCATCGCCCCGCCCTGGGGCTCAGTACCCAGATGTAAAGGAGCCGTTGGAGGTTTCGGTGTAGAAACAGGTACTGTGGGATGTACTGGTGAGGCTGTAGGCAAAATACGCCACGGCCGAGCCCAGCGTCAAGCCTGTCATGTAGGACACTGTCATGGTGTTCCCTGTGGGAAGGGAGATGGGGTGTCAGGGTGCTCTGGCCACCCTACATGGGACCCCCGGGAGGGCTTGGTCCTACCTGCCAGCTCCCGCTGCTCGGGGCTCACTTTGCCAGCAGCCAGGATCATGGGGACGCTGCCGAAGTAGCCGTTGGTGATGCCCATGAGGAGGGAGAAGATGCAGGGCCAGGCCGGGTGGCCAAAGGTGGGCCTCCCGTTGGGGTAGACGCACATGATGAAGAGGGGGATGAAAACCACGCGGAGGCAGGAGTAGATGAGGAGGTGGGTCCCTCTCCAGTCATAGGGCAGGGCAGCCAGGATCTGCAGCGAAGGGCAGAGACCATGCTGGGGCGGGGAGGGAGGCGAGGAAGCTGGGGAGGGCAACACGGTGCCCAAAACGAAGGAGATGAGGTGGTGGAAAGACCAACTGCTGCAGGAGCCCAACCTCAGCCATGCTGGTGAGCAACCTCACGCTGCTTAGGTACCCATGGGGCGGAGATGACCCTCGGTGGAGCCAAGCGGCTTTGAAAGAGGACACAAAAAGGAGGCAGGCCCGCCACTACGCTGGTGTTCGCCTCTCTCCTACCTTGCCGACGAAGTCGGAGAGGTTGAAGATGGCCATGATGAGGATGGGGAGCCATTCCCCCAGCGTGCAGTTGTGGATCTCTGACTCCAGCCCAGGGAAGAGGCACAGAGTGATGAAGTAGGTCATGGCGATGGAGAGCATGTAGGCCCAGATGAGCCGGGACACGACGTAGCGGTGGAGCAGCATGTCTGGCAGGGACGGGCAGCACAGCTCAGCCAAAACCTGCAGCCCTCCCCTTGCAGAGCCTGCACCCCAAGGGTGGCTTCCATAGACAAGACGACCCCATGGTTTTGGGCACACTGAGAAAGGGACGACCCTTCCCCAAAGCCCTGGGCCACCAATTGCTCCTCCTGCCCTGCAAAATGCTGCAAAACCACCCCGTTGGCGTGGCTTGCCCCCCCCGAGCCCACCACCCACCTCTGAAGCTGGGCCAGCTCCTCTTGATTTTGGGCCGAGGGACATCGAAGCGCATGTAGGTGCCACTGCCAGCCAGCTCAGCTTCAGGGCCCGGGCTGCCCCGGGGGGAGCTCGGCTGCCCTCGCTGCTGGTTCTCCTGGGTGGGGGGAGAGGGGACACCAGTGCTGAGCTCCGGTGGTGAGAGGGTCCCCAGGGGTCAGCGGGGAAACCCGCCCTTGGCTTACAAATCGGATGTCCTCAGCGGTGACATCATGGTGGACGCGGTAGCCCGTCCCAGGGTCTTTGGGCCCCCGAGTCTCGGGGAGACCCTTGCGGGAGCAGGCTGTGTAGTAGCGGACGAAGCGGGTGCGCTTCACCAGGAGGTGGAGGATGAAGCACGTCAGCTCCATGCCGATGGAGATGAAGAAGAAGATGACCGTGTTCTCCTTCTCGTCTGACAGCAGCAGCTTGGTGAAGATACGGCTGAGCGAGATGATGACCCCAGCAGTGCCTGGCGGCATGGGAGAGTTATCAGCGGTGGGGTCTGCTGAGCCCCACAGCTCAGGGACCCCCCCCCCCCCGTCAGCCCCCCCATTACGTCAATGTGATGCCACCAGGTGTGGAGGAGTGATGATTTTGGGGGGATGAAGCCAGCTCCTGTCAGACATCCCCACGCCCAGCCTGGCGTGGCAGAGCAGTGGAGCTTGCAAGTGAATCAGAAGCCATTAAACACCCCGGTTTGTTCGGCAGCACCCTGGGGTGTCCCTGATCTGCTGGGCTGTGCTGGGGACAGCGGAGCCCCGGGTGTGACTCACTGGGGCCCCTGGAGAAGGTGCAGGAGGGTCCCCCCCGAGCAAGCCCATGAGGTTGGACGCGGCGGTGGAACTGCGGACGCAGGTACTTACTCTCGCCCGTCATCACTCCCTGTGTGTAGCGCTTGGGCAGCAGCCCCGTGTAGCCATAGAAGCTGGATTGCTGCACTTCAGGAGAGATGCACCGAGGGGAGAAGGGGGGATTATTCCTGCAGCTGAAACGCCGGGCAAGGGGAAGAAACCCCATTGGGAGCCCATGTGCTGTGCCATCCGGGAGCTGCATCCTTCCCAAACAGCCGCTGCAGCGCCCGGAGCATCCTTGCCCCAAAAGCCAGGGGGGCTTTTTGCCCTCCCTGTATGCCCCGCCACAGCTGTTCCCACCAAGAGTGGCCACCAAGTGCAGGGGCTTGGGAAGCCCCCGGGGCTGCCCAGGTGGGTGGTGTCGGGGACCAGTGCACGGTTTGGTGCTGGTGCCCCTGGCCAGTCCCGCGGTGCCTGGACAGAGGTGGGGGCGGGAAGGAGCAGGGACGCGAGGGTCAGCTTATAGCGGTTAGAGGAAGAAGTTGTCCCAGGAGACCGCGGATTTTTGGGTGGGGCTGCTTCCCCCCCACCTCCATCTAAAGGGCTGTGCTTGCCCCAGCACCAGCCGCTGTCCTGCATACCTGTGCAGCCAAAGGCCACCACCCCGACAGCGACCAGGTTGATGGCGTAGGCTTGCCTGCGGCTGAAGAGCTCCAGCCAGACGTCGCAGATGCTGACAAAGAGCAGGGGCCCCAGGGCAAAGAGATAGCCTGGGGGTGGGAGACAGAGGCGGGTGGTGGGGGGACAGCACGGGGAGAGCACTGAAAGGGGTGCAGGGACCCCCCCACTCACCCACGGAGATGCGGGTGTGCAAGCTCAGCAGCTCCACCAGCGCGTTGTTGAGGATGACGGCCACCAAGGCCACCAGGATGTAGGTGAGGCTCATGTCAAAGACGATGGAGGTCCCTGCAGAGAGGCAGGTGATGGGGGGTGGCAGGGGTCTGGCTCCCCTGGAGGTGGGGCCGAGCTCTTTCCAGGTTTGGGGTGGGTGCGAAGTGCTGCAGCTGCTGGAGACTTACCTGGGTATTTATGGTGCAGGTAGTCCACATCGGTGATAAAGCTGTTGTACGGCAAGAGAAATCCCACTCCGGCCAGCAGCATGGCAAAGTAAATCCCATGGTATCGATCCTGGGGCTCGGGATCATCAGAAACTGCCCCAAAAGGGAAAAGAAAGAGAAAAAGACATGACAATGGCACCGCTGCGCCCATGGGACCTGGAGCAGACCCCAGACTTGGGGTGTTGAATGGTGATTCTGCATCCTTTATGGCAAATGAGGGGGGGATCCCACCCACAGCAAGCAGCCCAGTGCCCCACAGAGCTCACAACTAAACAGTCCCAGCCCCAAGAAACACCTTCCCTAAATAAAGGTGTTTCAATGAGACCCAGGAGGCAGGAAAACACCCAGACCTTGGGGGCTGATGAGTTTTAATTGCAGTTGAATAACCTGAGAGCCAGGCAGTGTAGGTAACATCCAAAGTCAAGGTGCAGGAGGGGTGGAGGGGGGGATGTGGAGGTGCACAGGGCTACCCCAGGATGTGGAACAGGGCTGGGGTAAATCCCAGGAGCATCCCTGAGCCCTGCACAGGGAAGGATGAAGCTGCAGGCTGAGCCAGGCAGGAGAGCCAAGGCTTCAACCCTCAACTCCTTGCCAACCTGCAGAGCCCACTGCCACGGGATGCTGTGGTGACTCACATGGGTACAAACAGGTCCGAAAAAAGACGTTAGGCAATTTTGTGGCATTTCAGGCCATTTGTGGCTATTAAACCTGTTCCAGGAAGCTGCTAAATGGATGGGGAACAGGCAGGGAACCCGGCTCCTGGCTGCGGCTCGGGGCCGTGCCTGCCCTCACCCGGCTCCATGAAGGTGAGGACGCCCTTGGCCTGGCTGCCCCGCTGCAGCTCTTCCTCCTCCAGCTGGTAACTGTCAAAGCTGAAGCTCATCACCACGTTGCCCTCCGGCGTCCCCGCTGGGCTCAGCTCCTTCAAGCGCTCGGCTCCCACCGAGCCCATGGTGACCGACCTGGGAGGGACAGCGGTGTCACAGCAAGGGACGGGTGGCACGTGGGGTGGCCCTGAGCCTTTGCCACCCCGCCGTATTGCTGTGGCTCCGGTGATTTTTCCACCTGGAAAGATGCTTTCCCCGAGCAGAGTGGGGTCCCTCGATCCACTGGGCAGGAGTTTGGATTTGGGGTGGTGGGTGGCGATGAGGGGGGGGGTGCTCCATGTGAGCCACCCCCAAGGCACAGCAGTTGCCCCAGCCTGGTTCAGCACCTCACTGGGATGCTACCAATGCGAAACATCACTGCGATTTCCAAAAGCCATTAGAGAAATTAACAGATGAAAACCACTCACGGAGAGTGACTGACTGCTGGGGAGGATTCCGGCTGCCCCAGGAAGACTTTGCTCTCCGCAAGTAGCACACGCTTACTCTGGTTTCTGCCTTCTTTTCATGATCTCTGCTGCCCGGGGCTGAGGCAGAGCCACCAGCCTGGGCAGACACACTCCTGCAGCCTTTTCAGGGAGAGGATGGGATGCAACCCGGCTTTTAAGGCAAGCATTTCGGATCTGCTTCTCCGAGGGCCCATGGCACAGCAGGGAGGTGCTCAGAGAGCCGCTGGAGAGACCCCAGCAGCTGCCCAAGAGGATATGCACTAAATGCATCCCAAAATAAGCTCCCAAAACACCTGGCATCGTCCAGAGAGCCTACCAGAGCCACTCAAAACATGGTTCATCCCTCTGGGGAACAGCCCGGGGCAGTGCTGGGGAGGGGGGCTGCTCTGTATTACCAGCATCAGTCGCTAGATGCCACGCTGCCTCTGCACCCACCCCCCACAGACCACCCAGCCGGCCGGGGAGGCAGGGGGAGTGAAAAAATAAAAATAAAAATAAATCAAAATCTCCTCCAAGTCAGCAGGTATGAGGCAGGCAAAGGAGGAAAAATCAATGACACTGATTTCTCTGGTCTCCCTGCCAGACATGGCGTTTGCAGGAGCAGAGAGGTTTTCCAGCATCTCCCCCACTGCCAGGATCGGATCCGAGTGGGGGGATGTGGTGCCCACAGATCCTGCAAGCGCAATCCTGGAGCCTAAAATGCAGCTGCTTGCTGCACGGACTGGTGGCACAGAGCAGCTCTGTGCGGAGGCCTGGATGGGGCCAGGCTGGGGTCCCCACCCTGCATCACGCCCCAAAACGCCCCATCCCGGAGCACCCCAGGCAGAACAACCTGGCGGGGCACGTTTTGGGTGGGGATACTGCTCCGTCCCAGTCAGAGCTGGCGGTGATCCCCTTCACGGGGCACCCTCCTGCGCCTGATGCTACCCCAGGCAATAAAACCCAGCGGGAAGCATCTCTTGGGATGCCGGGAAAGCCCGTTGTGGGGATTTTTCCATAGCAGAGATCCCAGCTGGGGAACACGCCAGCTGGAAACACCCCGTACCTACTGTGGCCCAAACTTCTCGGGGCCGGGAGCGGAGTGGGATGCGCTGCACAGCCACGGTGCTGGACCAGCCCCTCAGCACCAGTCTGCTTCGCTTGCACCGAGCATCCCTGCGCTGCGGTAAATCAGATTTTCCCCCTCCTTTTGGATTTACACCCCGTCTACACGGGAGGGGGCTTGAGCCCTGTCGCCCCTCTGCACCCAGGGTGGGAGTCGGGGGGCTCCTCCATCACGGCCAGGGGTGGGGGGGTCTCATTCAGGGGCAAGGCACCTGCAGGGCCGGGAAGAATTGGGGACCCCTGCTCTGCTGGCACCCCAATGCCGGTTTAACCCCGGGCATCGCAGACACCCTCCCCCACACACCCCCCCATCCCCAGCCAGGCCGGAGAAACGCTTTTTTGCTCTGGCAAAAGGGTCCCCCGACATCTTGCAAGCAGCGAAGTTGTAATAACCAGGGGGAATTCAATAACCCACGGGCTGAAGGAGAAGCTCCTCGCTGGAGGGAGGGGGCGGTAAACCCGGCCCCGGCCGCGCCCGGGGGGGGGGATGCTCGGATGTCGGAGGGGGTGTCAGGGGGTTTGGGGGAGGCGTCTCCCCGCACTTCGCCCCCCCCCCACCGTGCCCAACAGGTCGGCGGCTCTTACCTCCCTCCGCCGCGGCGGTTCTGCGGCACCGGCTCCGCGCCCGCCCCGCTCAGCACCGGCGGCCGCCGGGCCCCGGCCCCGCCATACCGGAGCCTCCGCCGGGGCCGCGGGGGGGAGCCGGGGGTTGGGAAGGGGGGGGGGAGCCCGGCAGCGAGCGCGGCGCCTGCGACCGAGGAGCAGAGGCGGCCCCGGCCCTGCCTCCCGCCCCCCTCCGCATCCTCCCGCCTCCCCTTCACTCCTCCTCCTCCTCCTCCCCCCCCCCCCCGCCCAAACGGGGGCGCGCAGAGGGAACCGGGGACCCCCAACCCCCCCGCCACGGGTTAGTCCCCAGGGCCGCAGGAAAGATTTTAACAATGAGCAGAGCGCGTTCATACCCCTGTCCATAGGTACCGCCTATAGGTACTGCCTATAGGCACCGCCCCCAGGCGCTTTAGGGGGATTTCGGAGGGCTGGAGCTAATTACAAAGAGAGATTAATTAGGAAGAAAGCCCTGGTAATTTATAATGTCATTTAGGACGTGAGCTTTGCAGGGACGTGGTCCTTCCCACCCTGCAAACGGTTTTAGAGGGAGGGGGTGGACGCGGTTCAGCATGAGCTGGCCCATGACGGATGGCTGGACTGACGGACAGACAGACGGAAGACCAGAGGGAGGGTCAGAAAGACAGATGGATGGATAAATGGACAGTTAGAAGAAGGATGGATGGATGGATGGATGGATGGATGGATGGATGGATGGATGGATGGATGGATGGATGGATGGATGGATGGATGGATGGGTGGATGGATGGATGGATGGGTGGGTGGGTGGATGGATGGGTGGATGGGTGGATGGATGGATGGGTGGACAGACGGACGGATGGATGGATGGATGGATGCATTGCAGCTCTGGCTAGCAGAACGCAGCAATTCCCCCAGCTTTTGGGGGAAGCAAGTAGGGGGTCTCTGTTCCCCAGCATAACCAGGGGGTGGAAGAAGAGGAGGAAGGGAACCACAGCTTGCGGTGGTGGGGACATCTGTCTAGGGAGAGGACACGTGTCCCCAAGGAGGGTGCTCCAGGCAGGGACACGGTGGGTGTCCCCACCCCTTCTGAGCTGGCCAAGGCTGCAGGCAACATCATGGGGATTTTGCTTCTTCTTGCAGGAGCAGCGAGGCATGGGGGGGGGGGGGGGCCCACGCACAGCAGCTGCCCCCTCCCACTGAGCTGGGGGAGAGCCCCGGGGGACCAGCCCTTGCTGGGCTCTCCCCACCCGCAGCGTGGGAGGATGGCGGCAGCAGGAGGGAGGAGAGGTACCGTCCCTGCTCGCTCGCCGTGGCTGCAGCGCGCCGGGCTGTGAATTACAATCTTCTCGCGGTCAATAAACGCAGCGTTGTATAAATCAGCGTGCGGGGCCGGCGGGATGCACTGCTGCCGCTCACGCCAGAGGAAATTAGAGGCAAAACCGGCTGTGCCTCCTTGGCCGCCCTTCTGCCGGGAGCAGGGCTGAGCAAAGGGTCTCCTGCAAACTCATCGCAGGGAGGAAAACAGCCCAGGTGGAAATTTCCATCTTTTCTCCTTGGCTGAAATAGCCGGAGTTTGGCTCAGTGCAAACCAGATTGCTGAGCTGAGCTCTGCCCGGAGCCAGGGGCTCAGCTTTCCCGGCTCCCTCCTTGGCTGAGCACCTGCACAGCTCAGTGCACTAGTGCAAGGAGGGATTTTTTTTTTTTTTTTTTTTTTTTTTCTTTTCAGGCTACTTGTTTTGGCTGGGTTTGTTCACCTCTAATTTGACAGTGTCATTGTAAAAATCTCAAAGCACCTCACTCCCTTGGGGTATGTCCCCTTGCCCTACACCAGACCCCATCACCCCCCTACCAGGCACTTTGGAAATTTAAGAAAAGGGGGTGACTGCGGTGGGGGTTCCCCAGCGGTGCCTGTGGCTGGTTGGCACCCAGACAGCATGAATGCTCTACAAAAAGAGCAGGATGAGCTGAAGCATATGTGTGCTCGCCTTTTCACAGCTTCCTGGCGAGGCCCTGCTGCCTCGGCGCTCACCAGGCGGCATTACTCACTGCTTTCCACAGGGATTTTCCCTGTGGGCCAGTTCTCCCCATCCCAAAGCCCCAGGTTTGGAGCTGGGGAGGGGACTTTTAAAAGCGACCAAGCTCAGGCGAGCAGCTCAGCTCCCAAATGCACTTGTTGCTCTCTGCATCGTGGGGAGATGCTGTGAGCGAACACCTCGTGGCAGATAGCAAGACCCTGATTTTTACCGTCCTGTCTGAAGTCACACGATGTCTTAATCCCCATTTTGAGGGGTGAGGGGGTTCCTTTTCTGCTGTGGGTGCTGGGCTACCCAAAGAAGCTGTTATGGCTTGGAGGGCTATGGGAGACCACAGGGAGATGAATCCACCAGGGTGAACTTCTCTGAGTGCTTTCTCTCTGCTTTCCCCACCCCCACGGGCAGTGTTAGACCCAAATGACACTGTCCCCTCTCCTGAAGAGCCCAAGGTGCCCCCCAAGGATGGGCAGGCTGAGCTGTCTCTGCCCGATGGGGACACGGAGGGATGGCAGTCCTCTGAGCTCAGGTCTCTGTGAGTTTTGCTGGGCTCGTCAATTTTTTAAGCTGGCCCTGAATAATTCAGCTCTGATGTAGCTGGCTCGACGTTGGTGAGTTTGGATGCTCCTTGGGTTTCTGCTTGACCCAGTTTAACAGCCAGGAAAACCTGCTAGGCATGATGCTCCGACTGCGATGGGGCAAAGCTGCCCAGCCACCCCGGTCCCCATGGCAGGAGGGACATCCCGCACACACAGCTCCATCCCGGGGTCTCTCCCTGCACCCTCACATCCAACAACGTGGACTACGGACCATCCCTCACCCACGTCACAGCTTTTTGGAGGTATTTTTGCCTTCTCCCCTTTTCCCACCCTCTCTCCGCTGTCCCATGGCCCCCGGCACGAGCGGGTGCATCCCAGCAGCATTTACCAGATTATGAGAAGGGATTTGCTCAGCTCCAGGAACCAGCTAACACCCTGCGGCCACCTCGCCACGGGTCCTTGCTGGTCAGAGCCTCTCCTTGTTTTCCTGGATCCTGGTTGAACACTGATTAATCCCACCGGGTGGAATAAAAGGCTGCTGATTCATTTGGCTTGGAGACGTCAGATTAGGACAGTCTCCAGAAATCCCCTGTATTGCAGTTTTCTCTTGCCCTTCCTGTGGAGTCAGGTTTTATTAATCATTGCTGTTGCAGAGGTGAAAGAAAGGAGAGACCTTTCAGGTGTCTGCATCCCACCACACTGCCAAAAACCTCAAGCCATGGCTTTAAATCCTCGAGGACAGTGGGAAGCAGCTGTCCCTGCTGTCCCCATCCCCGTGAACATAGTCACAAGCCATCCCTTGGTTAAAGAAAGGCAAAACTCGGCTCCTTAACCAAGCCATGCTCACCCTGCCAGGGTGCCCGGGGTGTCCCGTGCCCAATGCCACGTCCCCTCAGCACCAGCCAGGCTGGGTGACACCGTACCTGTGATTGCTGAGCAGGGCGGGGGGGGAACGAGACAAAGGGCTGCCACATCTAAGCCCCCCCACTCCCACATCCCCACGCTCAGCGCTCCCGGGAGCGCTGTGCATCCATCTCTTCCGCTTCATGGGAAGGGGGAGGCTGTTCCCAAGCCTGCAATCCCCTCTTGGAGAAGCTCCTTTAAATAGCACCGTAGCCTTCGCATCCTTCCCCGGGGTCTGCTCCCAGCGCCGGCCAAGCGTGCTGTGCCAGCTCTAGGAGCATCCTCGGCAGCGCCGGCTTTGCACGGAGGCAGTGGGGATTAAACAGGGATGTTGTCACTTGGCCGGAGTCACATTTGGGGGATTATCGGGGCCTGTGAGAAGCGGGGAGTAGCCAGGGAATTTGTTGAGTGCAACCAGAGGGAGTTTGTCACAATCCGATTGCAGGTGAACAGAAATCCCAGGTGCTGGCGGGAGCTCGGCACTGGAGGCTGCGGGGATTAACTGGGTTTTCCCCAAGCTTTGCAACAGGACTGGGGCGGGAGGAGGAGTTGCTCTAAACCCAAAGCACTGGGTTTAAATGCTCCAGGGAGATGCAGGGGCTGAGCTGAGCGTCAGCTTTGGGGCGCCCAACCCTCTTCCCAAGGCCAAGGGGACCAATTTTCTTCCATGCGGATGACCCGATTCTCCTGCCAGGGGTTGCTCTGTGCATCCCGCCTGCCCCCAAATTAGCTAAACCAGCCTGGGAGAGCTGGAGAAACCCTGAGAGGATACTCAGAGCCTTTGCATTCCACAGGACACTCCCCCCACACCTCACCCCACCCCTCCCCCCCACTGCCTTTGTTGGAAGAGCTTTGCATCCATCTCTAATTAATCCAAGATGAGCTGCTAATTCAGCTCCTTGATTGCAACTTTGCATAATTGCTGCACACACAGGCAGAGTGGCAGGATGGGATAAAAAAAGGAGTCAATCAGCAGTGGGTGTAGAGGAAACAACGTCCACTCACCGGGCTATTTAAAGACCCAGGTTGAGAGATTTTTCTCTGGAAGGAGAAAATGGCGACAACCACCCTTGGATGGGGTTTTCCCGCCCATGCTGGGCTCACAAAGGGCCTCTCCAGCAGCCACAAAGCCTGAGCCCCTCTGGGAAATGGTGAGTTACAGGCAATACAACCCCTTTGACTATACCCATCATGCTACCATATGCTGGCCCCCTCCTCCTCACGCCCCCCTTTTCCCAGCATCAAAGAGGTTATCTGTAGGTTTCAGAGTGAACGCCCCACCGAGGTGAGCAGGGCAAATGCATCCTCCAGAGCCAGCGCTCCAGGTTTCTCTCCCACCCACCAGGCACACTAGACCCCTGTGGTCATGAAAGCTGTTAAAACCCCCCAAAACAAGACCCAGAGGACAGCAGGCCAGGCCTGCCAGCAAGGCGTTACCTCCTCAGGAAGCAACCCAGCAGCACAAGGGAGGCCAGGCAGCATCACCCAGAGCCCTCGGCGGCACAATTAGCAGGAAAAAATTCTGCTTTTCCTGCCAGCGATGGGCAAAGCCGTTCCCACAGGGCTGCGGGGGGTGGGTGGGCACCCAGGGGCACCCACTGCCAGGCAGGCAGGCGCTGCGCAAGCAAATTGCTGGTCGAGGCTCGTGGGTTATTTTGCCACCCTTCTCATCCTCCTCTGCTCACATCCCACCCACAGACATTTCCCCCCACCCCCCCCCCCCCACTTTACCACCTC